TTTTTTTTTTTGCTCCCCCACCCTCCCCAACCCACCGCCCACATTTGTCGATTTATTCATCCACCCCTTCCACACGATTCCGCTCCCATAGATATGTGTATATACCTCTGTGTGTACGTGTGTGTGTGTGTAAGTGAGTGATTGGGCGTGGCTCCTCACGCCGCAGCGGCAACGTATTCCGTTGTGCTGGCAGCCGCGAGGCGCTTGCGCTGCGCTGCGCTGTTCGGCTCGTATGCAGGGAACTTTTCTTCACGCTCCTGCGTGTTGTCAATGCTCGTGTAGTGCATCCACGCCAGGCCGAAACGTTCCGTGTCCTGCACGTCCAATGCCATGTTGAACACGAAGAAGAGCGCCACAGGGACGGCGAAGTCGAGGTACGCCGCGCCAACATGCTTCACGTACGACTTGGTCCAGCGGAAGAAGGAGGACAGGCGACTCTCCTTCTCTGAAACAGCACTCTCAAGCATCATTGTTAGACTTGCTGTTCTTTAAATCTTTCTTGTTTCGTGATATGGCTCTTACCACTGCTGCCGCTTTGCTTTCGTTACTGTGTGAATGTATGTGTGTTTGTGTTTTAAAAATACCACCGGTGGCAGACACACGGGCGAGAAGAGCAGACATGAGGGGCGGCGCCAGCAAGTGCCCGCCAGCAGGAGTCAGCGCACACGCACAAAAGTCACAACCAGCCACACCTTCTGTATTAAGCATGCACACACACACAGACACAGAGCGAGCGAGCGAGAGAGCTATATATATATATATAAATATAGTGAGAGAGAGAGACATACGTGTCGGTGACCAAATTCTTCCCTCATCCATGTCTTTTTTCCTTTCTCTCCTTCTGCCGGCTGTTTGCTGCGTGTTTCGCCTCCCCTCCCCTCCTCCTCCTCCCTCTGTTAGAAATTGTTACACACACACACACACACACACACACACGCTCCACACCCTCAGTCCTCCGGGTTGTAGTTCTCCCGCACGATGCGGTGGATCTGCGACGGCGTGTACTCGGACTCATTCGTCGCGTACAGCGTGATAAGCTCCGGCGGCACGTACTCCGTCACCGGCGAGTGCACGATGAAGCAGCCGACGTTCTCTACCTTCTCGCCGTAGGGCGCCTGCAGCACGTCGCCAGGGGAGCCGTACGTGTTCCACGGGATCTCCTGCGCGCTGGTGCGGGATATCTTCACCAGGCTCGTGCAGTACACGTCGCGCGGGTAGTACGGCGACATCTTGAGCGTCGTCGTTGCCACCAGCACCGGCACCGCGAAGTGCTTTGCCGCGATGCAGAGCGGGTGCGTGCCGATGGGCGCCAACAGCCCGCCGTTCGCCAGTACGTTCTCAACGCCAATGAGGACCTTCGTGCAGGTCCCCATCACCGCGAAGGCGGAGCTGTCGGGCAGCACCTGCACCTCCGCCTGCATGCCGCGCAGCTCACTCGCCAGCTTGTGAGTCGCGGAGGCTGGCCACGGCGCGCCCTCGAGAATGATGACTTTGAACGTCACACCCGCCGCGAGGGCGCGCAGCAGGTAGTGCCGCGTCGTGTTGCTGCAGCCCATCGTGATGACGGTGTCGCTCGCATGCAGCTGCTTTGACGCGCGGTTGCACAACTCGTCGCACATGCCCTCGATCTCCCGCTGGAACGTCTCGATACGCTCGAGCACGTTGTCCAGGACATCACTGACGCGCACAGGGAACTCCGTGTCGCGCTCCGCGCTCGCCAATTCACGCCGGCTCGGCGCCCGC